AACCCAAAACTACAAAAAGGTCTGGAAGAAAATGTAGTCAATACCATTTAGGACAAAGACACAGCCAAAGATTTCATGACAAAGATGTCTCCTTCATGTTTCAAGGTTAAGTTTGCTGGATATAATAGCTAGGTTGAAAATGTCTGTTACTTCATCATTTCAATATATCATCCTATTTCCTCATGGCACGTAGGGTTCATACTGAGAATTTTGCTGCCAGATGTGTTGGAACTCCATTAAATGTTATTTGCTTATCTTCTCTTTCTGCCTTAAGAACTGTTCTTTGTCCTCAACCTTTGAGACTTTGATTACGATATGCCTTAAAGTGGCTTTATTTGGGTTGAATCTGCTTGGTATTGTTTAACATTTTTATATATGGATATTCATATTCCTCTCTAGGTTTGAAAAGTTCTCTTTTATTATTTATTTGAAAGAATTTCTGACTCTCAGTTCTTTTTCTATGTTCTGTTTAAGGCCAATAACTCCTAGATTTGCCATTTTGAGGCTATTTTCTGCATCATGTAGGGATGTTTGTTTTTATTATTTTTTCATTTTTTTCCTCTGACTAAATTTTCAGGTAGCTTGTCTTTGAGAACACTAATTCTTTCTTCTGCTTTTTCAATTGATTTTGAGACCCAGTGACACATTTTGTAGTCTGTGAATTAAATTTTTTAGCTCCAGATATTTTGCTTGTTTTTTTATATTACTTCCATCTCTTTGTTATATTTATCTGATAGAATTCGAATTCCTTTTTCATGTTACCTTAAAGTTTGTTGCACTTTCTCAAAACAGCTAATTTGAATTCCCTGCCTGAAAAGTCACATAGCTTTATCACACCAGGATTGGTTGCTGATGCCCTTAGTACATTTGCTGAGGTTATGTTTTCTTTGATGTTCTTAATATTTGTAGACGATTGTTGAGGTCTAGCATTGTAAAGTTAGGTATTTATTCCAATCTTCAAAATTTGAGCTTGTTTGTACCCATCCTTCTTGAGAATGCTTTCTCAGAATTCATAAAGAACTGAATGTTGTTACCTAAGACTGTGGTCACTGTAGCTGTTTCACCATGGGAGGAGGAGAGGTGCACTAGTCCAGGAATACTGTGACTCTTGCCAATTTGTAGATACACAACTTTCATGAACTTGGTAAAGATAAGATAGAATTTCCTGAGTTACAAAGCAAAGTCTCTCTCTCTCTCTCTCTCTCTCTCTCTCTCTCTCCTTCTCTCCCTCCCTCCCTCCTCTCTTTTCCACAAGCTCTGTACTTGGCTGCCGGGAGTTGGGGGACAGATCATGCAAGCACTCCAGTAGCCACCACAAATGGCATCATGCTGGGTCACACCTGAAGCTCACAGCCTTCCAGACCAGAACAGTCCTGGGGCTCACCAAAGGCCCATGGCTATGACTGCCTGGCTGTGGCTGATACTTATTCAAGGCAGAAGGGCACATTAGTCAGAAAGTGGTGAATTCTGCTGGGCTTTCATCCATTCCTCCAGGCATGCAGATTACTTTCTGACCAAGAATGGATCTACAAACTCCATCTATGAACAAATTCCTGGAATCTGGGGCTTTAGAAATCTCCTGGTACTTTTACTGTAGCTGACTAGCTACAGTAAAAGTTGCAAGGCAAAGTCCTCTACACTTTTTCCTCTCCTTTCCTCAAGTGGTAGGAGTCCCTCCTTCAGATGCACTACCTGGGATGAAATCATCTTTGCAAAAATTATGACAATGAAAGAAATACAGCATGGTTGACTCCATCGTGCTTCTAGACTCATGGCTTGGCCATCCTCACTCATTCCTGGACATAAGCCAAGCTAACCATGAGAGGAATTTAGTTTATGGTTTATCTTAGTAACAAGGATGATAATAGTTCCTCTCTAAAACTAATCCCCTCTTTGCTCAGGGACTAAAACTAATGAAAGACCATGAGATTAGGATTATGGAAGAAGCTTGAATTCTGCTACTATGTAGGCATGGTTTTATAATCCCTTACTTCTCAGGAGTCATATGGCCAGAGGTCACAACATTTGTCACTTCCCTTATTGCTCTTATAGATAACATCACTACTGTAGAACCTAAGGTTGGTATTTTGAGAAGTTTTTTGGAAATTTGCATTGTGGCAACTGACTGGCCCCACCCAAACCCATGACTCGTGACTGAACTGGTTCTGTGGTCCCCGTCCAGAGACAGACAGACTCAGTGCACAAGGTCCATTTTCCATATCTCTTGGATTTTATCCCCACTTAGTGGCACCCATTCTCTAAGCCCCCTTCTACCAAACTGTCTGTAAAAACTCTAGCCTCAGAGTTCTTAAGGAGACTAATTTGAGTAATAACACCGTCTTCAATATTGTTAGCCTACTGTTAATTGAAGTCTTTCTTTACGGTGATACTACAATCTCAGTGAATTTGTTTTGTCTGTGAAGCAGCAAGGAAGAACCCACTGGGGGATTACAGGAGTTAGAAGAGGGATCACATACACATTTCCATGAACACCATGTCTGTTGTCTAAACTGGGTTGCACCTCAAGCTTGGTGCCTCCGAGACTAGCATAGTACTAGGGCTTGCCCAAATTTACTGCAGTTACTGAGTTCTGACTGCCACTCAAATTTATTCTGGGCCTGAGACCCCTTTATTCAGCCAATGATGCAGCCAACTAGAACTTTGGGTCTTCCTGTTGAAGCAGAGGATTCCCATCTGGCCCGGTACTGGTCTAAATGCTTCTTTAAGGGCACTGGCATAATCTTTCCCTGTGTTGTGTTCCACAGTAACAGGGCAATGTTTGATTCCAATGCAAATTCCCACCGTCAATTGTTCTACCTCCCCCAGCCAAACATTTTCTCCACTCTTTGTTGCCTGGGGTTGGGGAAAGGTGATGTAGGCAATACAACGCTATCTTTTCTACCCTATTTGATGACTCTTTATTTTTTATTATGTTAAAACTAAGTGCTTAATAAAGCACCTGATAATTTGGTTCTTATGAATGTTTCGTTGAGTGGATGGTTGTTTGATTTGGTATTCTGGCAGAGGGATGATAGCTCGAGTTTTCTATTTACACGTCTTTCTCCATCTCATCTCCCAAACTTCTTTGTAAGATTATTTATCCATATGTATATTGCTTCTTAAAATCCCAAGTAGGTTGAGGGAAGGTTTCTATCATAAGCCTATCATTTCAAAAGAAGATTTCAAACTTTTTAAATCTCAAGATATGCATATTGTTTTCTAGAAATGTACTTTGAAAATGACTTTATCTGAAATCTGCATAGTGCCCTATCCATATCTCCTTTGTCACTCTGGTTGATATCCTTGCTTTTGAAAGGAGTAGCTCTTTCAATTATTTTATTATTTAGACTTTTATCTATCACATAGTTTCATTAAAATTGTTTCTGTATAATCATTTATTTTATATATTGACTCTGTGATTTCATGAAAGACAAGAAAATAATGGCTCCACACTAACATCTGTATACCAGTACTGCTCTCAATTGGTCTTTCTTTTCGTGAGAGTTACATGTCCCCAGTTTTAGGTATTAGATGATGAAATAAGCACAAACCAAAAGTCCTATCATTGAAACAAAAGTTCTAATACTTTGAGAAGATAATACCATCTACAACAATAGATACTGAGTTTTTACCTAATGTTCAGGAATAGACATTGTTTTAATTTCAGATAAGGTTCCTCTCAAAACCCACAGTGCTCCTGTACATAGGCTTTTAAGGTTTACCAAATTAGAAAAATTTTGCTACTAGTTAGTTTCCTCCTCAACCTTATCCAATTTCTTATCTAGTTATATAGGGTAATATTAAACTGAAAATAAAAGGGATTACCAGCTAAAATTGAAAAGTTTGAGAACTTTCAGACAAATGGTACTTTTATGAGTAGATAGTTACACTGGCCACTTTCAATGTTCTTCTTCTTCAAGTTTGATACATATTCAGGGGAATACAGAAAGAAACTATAAATTCTGTCATATAGTAGTCCTATCTTATCTGCAGTTTCACTTTCCACAGTTATGGTTACCCAAAAATTATATAATATTTTTCAGAAATAAACAAGATATAAGTTTTAAATTGGCTGCTGTTCTGAGTATATATGCTACCTACCTGTTAGTATCTTAATATTGTCTCAATTACTGACTGTCAATGTTTCTCAGTGTGGCTCGAAGTTCCACACAATGGCTGTGTTCAAGTAATCTTTTCTTAATAATAATGCCACTCTCAAAGTACAAGAGTTGTAATGCTGGCAGTTTGGATATAACAAAGTGAAGCTGCAAAGTGCTCCCTTTAAGTAAAATAAAAAGAACATTTCTAATTTAATAAGAAAAAATTGTATACTAGTCTGCTAATATCCATGGTAAGAACAAATCTTCTATCTATGAAATTATGAAGAAGGAAACAGTTTATGCTAGTTTTTCTTTCACACCTCAGACTGCAAAAGTTAAGCCACAATGTGTGATTTGTGCTTGGTCAATATGCAAAAGGGATTAAATTTGTGGGTTTAGACATGAACAGAAATGTGTTCTAATTGACAGCAATCAAGTTTGGTTTTATCTATAGTTTCAGGCATCCACTCTTGGAATGTATTCCCTGAGGCTAAGATGGGACTACTGGGTTTCTTTTTTCCAAACATATAAATAAAATCAATTGATTTGGACTACCCTTTAAATAGACCTGCTCATGTCTTCAGACTTCAATGGCCTAGAATGTGAACCAATAGTAGTAAGAAGATTATTCTATCATTGAGTATATGAAGAAGAAAGAAGACCTTTTTATGAGAGTAACGTTTCTTCTTTGTCTTTGAAGCAAAGACAATAAAATACTACAAACTTTTACAAATTCAAAAGATAAGAAATGAAAAGCCAATATTGGAAAATACTGTCTTTACATACCAGAAATACTCAATGAGACAGATCCAAGATGGCACTTGTATCAAGGTGACTGGGGCAGGGCTGTGGGGTGTCCCAAAGATGCTCACTGTTCCCTGATCGGATGTGTTTTCTCAGGTCCTTGGGCTTCACTCACTCAAGAATGGAGAGAGTGCCCCGGTGACATGGTGAGTTCGTTAAAGTAAGTATCGATCCAGAGAGTTTTGCACAAAGCTATTTATTAGGCAGAGAGAGAGAGAGAGAGAGAGAGAGAGAGAGAGAGAGAGAGAGAGAGAGAGAGAAAGAAAAATAGAGAGCGAGAAAGAGGGAGCAAGCTCCCATGCTGTCCTCAGAGGGGATCCAGAGATGGAGTCCTTATAGGTAAGGGAATGGGTGGATTTCGATGGGGTCTGTATAAGTAAGGGAGTAGTGGGGATTTTAACCCCAGAGTTACTCCCACCCCATTCATGTTCTTGTTCAGTGAGAGCAGTTCTTCCAAACTTCCCCTGGAGTGATTGATTTTTGACTCATGCTGGACTGGCCATCAGGCCCACAGCAGAATCCCTCCTTCCAGGGATTTGGTGGTCTTTTTAAACGAAGGAGCACACCTGAAGTTTTACCTAGCCTACCCAGGGGATAGTTTGACAAAGAACCCTAGGTTTCCAGATGGGGAGGTGGATGGAGACATGGTGCTGGGAAGTTCTTGCCTTTGAAACCATGCCTTTTGTGGACACGGGAAGAGAAGTTAACATAGTCCCTCAGCACTTGCCTTCCACCATTTCATGCCCCACTGGGGATCTCTACTGAAAAAGATTGGGAGAGTCCCTTGGCCAGTGGGGACCCCAACCAGATCATCCAGATGCTGTACCGTAAATCTTGCTCAAGGCATCACACTAACTGATTGCAGGGCCTTGAGGAACCTAAAATAAGCAGCTCCTACCGTAAATCTTACTGAAGAGAAGCCCTATCTCCCACATGTGTGCAAGGCCATGAGGATGACCAATCTTTAACCTTTTCTCAATTATAATACTAAAAATTACACCCAGTATGAAGATTTAACATGCTAATAAGACACGTGATCCATGTGCTTAAAAGTTCCCTGCCTCTACGTGCCTGAAAATCATTTCTTTCCCAACTTAGACCCTTATAAACAAATGCCTTCCCAATTCCTTTGCAGGGAGCAGGCCAGAGAATCTCTTTTTTGCTGCCTCCCTTATGCCCAGGCATAAGCTCCAATAATGTCTTGTTTCGATAAACTCTTTGGGCCCTGTTTTAATTTCTGTTGTATTCAGAACCAAAGAACCCATGGTGGATAACACAGAGACTCTAGAAATTAGGCTAGTTTAAGAAATCAGTGTTTCAAGATTGATGTCTGTTGCAGCTAGAGCAACCACATTTGGAACATAAACTGCCATGTTGACTTCTGATCAACCCTGGTTCCTGGAATGCCTCTGAGGCTTTGAGTTTATTGTTCCTTGTGTAAGAGCATATACTTACAATAAATCCTTCCCTTAGAGCAAATTTCTACCTATTTCCTCTGAAACATGGGTGCCCCTGACCTATGGCATACCATCTCTGGGTCTGGGGGTAATGGTGCAGAGATCCATCATCTCGTTGTGCCACCACCTGAGACACAGATGTAGCTTCTGTTCATAAGTCTCTATTAAAAGTTTCTTCAAAAGAAACTGAGTTTGACAACCTCTTTCTTTGGCCTCTCAGCTTTCTGGGATTTTGGGGTAGGCTGGCATAGACCTGCCTACTGTGAAATGACATCTGATTAAAAAGAGTGGTGATGTGAGAGGAATACAACAGAAAGAAGGTGCTTGGTCTGATTGTTGGTGTCTCCACAACATTTATGTTTAAAATCCATAATGTGATGACATTAAGAAGTGAGGTCTTTAAAAGTTGATTAGGTCATAAGAAGGTGAAGACTAAACTTTAACTATTGCCTTTTGTTCTAAGTTTCTCCCTGAAGGGCTCAGAGAAAGTTACTCCCCTGTTATCAGTCAACATTTTTCTACTGACTCCGAATTTTTAAACAAAGCTTCTCTTTATTCAACAATTACAAGTCAGAAAAATCGTTAAATATACCTGTGACCTGTAAGCCTCTGCTTAAACATATCACAAACTTTTAGGCTAAAATCAATGTGTAAACTTAATGTATTGATGTATAATTTTGCCTGTAGCTTCCACTTTCCTGAGTTCCTGCAAGTAACTCAATGAAATATGTGGCGAGAGCTGCATAGCAGGAAACACACTTGTCCTGATTAACAGGAGACATACTCATCCTCATTAGTCACCTGAGGGCAAGAAAATAAAAAATGCTGTCAGCATATTTATTTCAAAAATCTCTTACAGATTACTCCTCATGTTTCATGCTATGGGCTCCAAAATTAAAATTTAATTCTAAGAGTTTTCATAGTAATCGAGTAGCATTCCTAATAAAACCTAAAATTTTATGTTGGGTATTTTATTTATAATTATATTACGTTATTGATTATTTTTTAGAAAATTTGCATTACTTCAACATTGATTATTTTATACATATTCATAATATATTAATATTTACATTTGTAAAAGAAAATTTAGAAAGTCATAGGATCACCCAAATGTATGCAAAAAGGAAGATAATTATAATGTCCTCTTCCTAATGAAGGCTGTAACTAACAGTATGCATCAGCCAGATCCCCATGGAGAAGCAAAAGGCATCAGACATCAAGGAAGGAAAGTCACCACAGATATTTCACAAATAGATTATTTGCTAGTTTCCAATAACAAGGGCATGCAAATTGTGTCTTTAGGTCTACAATCTAAGCCTAGCTCTGAAAACTTCACACTGAAAATGTTCATTGCAAGCTTATCTTCCCAGATACAGAATTAAGTCAAGACGCCTATCACCTGCCCGAAGACATCTGCATAATTGATTGCTTATTTTGTTTTTAATCTCCAGACATACATCTTATGTAAAATGTAGTATTCACCTAACCACCTCCCTGCCTCTTGTCCTATATGCATCCCCACCCTCCTTTCAAGAAATGTAAAAATACCTAATCTCCTGAGAACATCTGTGGAAAAACAAAGATGTGTCTGTGGTTCATGTTTTTCCTGGACACACCCTAAAATAACTTAATAAGTTTTGATGATTGCAACTTATCCCTCAGTTACTCATTTCAGTTGTCACATTTATAATTAATATATTGCCCAGGATTTGTTTTTTATATTTTATACCCTTTATTGTTGGTATTTTTCAAAGCATGCATCTTTTATATTCATTGTGTTATCAAGTATTTTACTGAAGTCTTCAGTAATTTTAAGTAAAAAATAAAATATATGCAAATAGTATTAATATTATATTGATTATCATGCATATTTGTACATTTTTTTCTGTTATCACACTCTAAATATGTTAATGCGATGATAAATTTTAATGAAGATTCTGGGGATACTCACCTTGCTGTTTTTCTTTTCCCCGAGAGAAAAGGAAAATATCAAAGCCTTATATATGTACTTGCTAAATATTGGCCAGAAAGTGATGGCACTTGGGTATCAATTTTAAATAAATTAGAAAATCTGGAGTTGAGAAGTTTTGAAAATGTAGCTGTTGACCACCTTGTCAATGAAATGACTCCTCAAATAAATCCCATACAAGGGAGACTGAAGAAATAAACCCTGTGCTGGAATCTTTTTTTAAGGGCACCTTTGAAATAAGCAATTGATTGAAATAAAACTTATTTCTATAAAATTTATCTATTTAAAGTAAAAAAATACATGGTAATTATAATCACATAGTTTTATAACTTTCAAAAATATCTAATTTCAAAACATTTTCAACACCCCAAGAAGAAATCCCATAGCCATCATTAGTCAATCTCTATTTCCTTCTGTCCTAAATTTCTCCAAATGATTAATTTACTTTTTGTATCACTGATTCACTTTTTATGTCTTTGGATTTGTCTATTCTGGACATTATACATGAATAGGATTATGTAATATGTGGTGTTTTATAACTGGCTTCTTTCACTTAGCATAAGGATTATAAAATTCATCCAAGTTCCAATATATATCATAATTTTATTTATTTTTATTGCTAAAAAATATTCCATTGTCTGAAAAAACATGTTTTGATTTTTCATCTATCAGCTGGTGGAAATTTGAGGTGTCTTAATTTTTTGGCCATGCTAGTGCAGCCAACCCCACCATGCTGCCACAGCCGTGATGGCACATGCAAGTGAATATGGATCCTGCTTCCATTGCTATTATGAAACACATTGGCCCACAACATTCATCATAGTGTTGGGGCCAAAGCTGTGGGAAATTGTTACCACCAGACCTGTCTTAAGAAATCCTGAAGGGAATGCTAAATATGTAAAACAAACACTATTATCAGCCACCACAAGAAATCCTCACTTGAGTACATAGACCGTTGATACTCTAAAGCAATTACAAAACCAAATCTGTATGATAACCAGCTAGCAACATGATGATAGGATCAAATCTGCACATATCGATATTAGCTTTGAATGTAATCAGGATACACGCCCTGATTAAAAGGCACAGAATAGCAAGTTGAATAAACAATTTGGATACAACTGTATGCTGTCTTCAAGGAAACCATTCCACATGGAATGATACCCATAAATCAAAGTAAAGGGACTGAGAAAAATCTACCAAAGAACCAAAACAGAAAAGCAGGAGTTGTTATTTTAATTCTAAACAAAGCTGATTTTAAACTAACAACAATAAAAAAAAGACAAAGAGGGTATTAAATAATGAAAAAGGATTCAATTCAACAAGAAAACCTAACTATATGCATGCCCAACACAAGAGCATCAATAATAATAAAACAACTTCTTAGAGACCTATGAAGAGACTTACATAACCACACAATAATAATGATAGACTTTAACACCCCTGTAGCATTAGACAGATTATCTAGGTGGAAAACTAACAAAGATATTTAACACCTAAAATTGGCCCTTGATCAAATGAGCCTAACAGGTATCTGCAGAACTCTTCACTCAAAATCAGCAAAATATACATTTTCACATCGGAACATAACATGTATTTTAAAATCAATCATATAATCACACATAAAACAATCCTTAACAAATTGAAAAAAAAAAACAATTATACCAACCACATTCAAGTACCACAGTGCAATAAAGATAGAAATAAATAATAATAATAACTCAAAAACATATG